TGCTTCATGAATACGATAACCGCTTATCTCTCTAAGGGTACTAATTATCCTTATTTTAGAGTCTCCTTCTGTTGATTCAATCCGCGATGCTTCTCTGGGCACCGGAGCGCCTGTCTCTTGTGCTGCCGCCTCTCTCCCTGCTCACGCGCCCATTCCCGCAGGCAGCAAGCCCAGCTCCGTGCCAATTCCTGTCTGCCACCGCGGTGTCTGCTCCGGGTCTCCTGGAAGACGGGCTGCTACGGTCGCCATCCTCCTTCTCTGAGGCTTCACACTCTGTGGTTTCAGTTACCCCAGGTCCACCGAGGTCCAATGTTCTAAATGAAAGATTCCACAAATGAATACTTCACAAGCGGTACATGTTTTTACTTTCAGTATATGATTATAATTGTTCATCTCTTCCTGAGTCTAATTTATAAATTGAACTCTATCAGAGTTAGGTAGGTATAAGAAAAACCACAATCTTTTTAGGGCTCTGTGCTATCCGTGACTTCAGGTCCCCCAAGGCATTTTGGGACTCCTGTTTGTACTAAGGGGGCACTGGGCCTGTGGCCGGGCTGGGGCAGGGAATCCCTGGGACTGGGGACCCTGTTTCTCCTAGAGCCTGGCTGCTGCCTGGCCACAGCTCCCCCACCCTCTGCTGGAGCTCAGCTGGGGGCCCTCGCCCTGCCCTTCAGAGTCTGCACCCCCCACCCCGGAGGCTGTCTCCCTGGATTTTGTTTCTCTGCATCCCTCTTTGTGATTCAGACAGGAAGAAGTTTAATCCAATGAAAAGACTTGGTTTTTAAAATGAATACTATTACACACCTTCCCTCCATCTTTTAAAAACATTTTCTGAACATTCTGGGCTCTGGGGGTGGAGAGTGCTTGTGTCTGCCTTTTGAACGGAGCCCTAGATGCTGCTAAACCTGCCTTGCAGGGCACCCTGGGGCCCTTTCCACTGGGCCGGCCCCTGGGCAGCACCAGCACTGGGACCCTGGGTCTCTCTGTGCAGCTGACACCTTTACATCGAGAGGAAAAAATCGGGACCTGCTTCATGTCCTAAGCCATCACCAGGAAACAGTCTGACAGCCTAAGCCGCAAACAGAGCTGCCAACCCTGGGTGCTCTCTCCAACTGGGTACAAGGGGCAGCTGCGCCGACCACCGGCCTCCACTCCCTTGTGACCCTCCCAGGCATAGTCTGTGTCATATCTGGGCATCGAGCTGAGTTTGAAAGACCCTTCTGTTCCGAGTGGAGTCGAATCAGTGACAACAGACAATTCCAGCCAGTGGGGCGATCACGCCAACAGCACTGGCTGTGCTAAGACATCCTATCCCCTAGATGCTGGCACGGCATCGCCCCAAAAGATGTCCTCATCCTCAGCACCCAGCCACCTGTGTGGAGATCGTCTCTGTCTCCGTCTCTGTCCTGGCTGCTCTCATCTGCTCTTTCCTCCTTGCCTCCCGGGCCCGCGCATCTCCATAACCTGATCAGCAGTGGGAAATTGGATCAGGGCGGGCAGATCTCTGCCTGCCTCTCACTGCGCGAATGTCAGAGCCCCCAGGGCATAGAGACCCGTTCCTCCGAGTGGCATCCGTGAGAGGCAGATGGGGGCCTGCAGGGCCTTGATCCAATTGTGCCCACACAGGTGACGCATTTGATCCTTGCTGGAGGGTGCGACCTGGTCTGGTGGCTAATTCAGCATCAACAAGGCTCAGACCCACCAAGCTGTAGGAGACAATTTGTCCATGGAGATGGTTTTGTGTTTTGTTGGTGATGGAGCAGCAGCATGGGGTGTTCTTTTTGCCCAACACCTCCTGACACTGGGGACCAATGTCAGCCAGGAGCCCAAACATCTTCCACCACCTCACAGTTCAACTTCAAAGACTCTGCAGGGTGAATGCAGATAGGTTGTGCAGGGCAGCACTGTGCCTTCGCCACTAACAGAGAGAGCTGAGCGGCGGTACCCAGCATGCAATCGGAAAGTCGGATGAAATACAGCATTGACAGCCAACATGGTAGTGCACACCTGTGATCACAGCACGCAGGAGGCTGAGGCAGAAAGTTCGTCGTGAGTTTGAGAACAGCCTGGGTTACAAAGAGAAGGAGCTGCTGTGTGGCTCAGCAGTCCCTGACTCCCGGAAGAAGAGGCAGGACTTGAAGACAAATCTGTCACCCCCGTTTGCAGCAGCATCATTCGAGAAGTCATGAAAGGGGAGCCCCGGAAGTGTCCATCTGCTGAGGATGGGCGCATGGCAGTGGACCCTCCACACGGTGGGGGACTCAACTGCCTTACAGAAGAACCAGAGAACATTGAGGACACAGGGCTGAATGCACTGGGTCCCAAAAGGGTGGCTCCTGCTGGACCCAGTTGGGACAGGGGTTCAGTGGGTGCCAGGCCTGGGCAGGCAGGGGTGAGCAGTCAGTGTCACAGGACGGAATTGTCCAGATGACCAGGTTCCCTGAAGAGCCGCCAACATGCGTGGTTTAGCAAGTTGCATACACATGATGCTTAGGTGCTAGGTGTGAACACACGGTCCTGAGGTGCACACAAGGAAGGAAACACTTGCAAACCATTTGAGTAGGAAGAGAGAACCCTGAACGACTGTGTCACACCCAAATAGTGGGCATTTTGGAGAATGGCACTCAGGGGGCTTAGATTGCGATTTCAGGCAAGTTTGCCTGTTTCTAGCCATAAAGATGGAGCATTGACCAAACCCTTCCTCAGCTCATGCGTGTCCATGCCCTCCAACAGAGGAGGAGAGAGGAGCAGAGAGGTCAGGAGACTGCCCACCTCTCCTGGCCAGGGGGAAGCCGCTTCCTCACTGGCTGGCGGGGCCGTGTTCCTCCTAGCCGGCCCAAGCCTGCATGTGTACTGCCCCTCCATCCTTGGTGCTGAGGTCAGAAGGAGCTGCTGAGGTGGCCAATGCTGCCTTCAGCGTCTCTGGGATCAGGTTCCACCCAAACTGGGGGCTGCGGTGACTGCTCAGGCCTTGGGCTCCACACCTCCTTTTCCAGGGCTGAGCAGTTAGATCCCCAGCATCCAGCAGGCTGAGTCCTGGGACTTCTGTAGCTCCTGCACCCCAGACTGGATGGGTGACAGTGTGTGACTAAGTGTGAGGAGTGTGAAGTATAGGTGTGTTAGTGTATGTGCGTGTGTCAGTGAGTGAGAGCATGGATGTGTGTGTGAATGTGCATAAGTGTAAATGAGTGCATACCAGTGTGTCAGTGCATGTGTCAGTGTGTGAGTGTGTCTGTGTGTGAGTGTATCTGAGTGTGTCTTGTGAGTGTGTGTGTCTGGGTGAGTGTGACTGTGTGACTTGTATGTTTGTATCTGCGTGTGAGTCTGTGTGTGTATGTCTGTGTGTCTGTGAGTGTGTCTGTGTGTGTGAGTGTGTGTGTCTGTGAGTGTGTCTGTCTGTGTGTGTATCTGTGTGAGTGTGAGTGTGTCTGTGTCTCTGTGTGAGTGTGTGTGTCTGGGTATGAGTGTGTCTGTGAGTGTGTCTTGTGAGTGTAAGTGTGTGTCTGGGTGAGTGTGACTGTGACTTGTATGGTTGTGTCTGTGTGTGTGTGTGTCTGTGTGTCTGTGTGTGTGAGAGAGAGAGTGTATGTGTGAATGTGTGAGTGTGTCTGTGTCTCTGTGTGAGTGTGTGTCTGTGTGTCAATGTGTGAGTGTGGACTGGCAGCAGCTTTGCAGGTGCGAGGATCAGCCCCCCCTCACCCCTCTCTACCTTCCATGAGCAGAGAGGGGACCTCACGCAGAGGCGCATGGCCTAAAGTCACCCCTGCCAGTGACAGCGGGGACCTCACTCAAGGCCTGGCTGCTCCTGGCCCTGCAGAGGCCTGGCCTCTGGTCCGACCATGAGGTCAGGTATCATGGAGTGTCACGCAGTACACGATCCTCTGGGTCAGCTGCATTTCTCCTGCCAAGCTCTGGGACTAGTGGGAATCCCCAGGCCATGTCCCCAGGCCTCTAGGATCACAGGGTCCAGCTGCCTGGTACCCAGCTCTGGGCATGGGGAGCTATGGGCAGGCCTTATGGTCACAGTCTCAGGGCCACTGCACAGCCTCATTCCTGGTGCACAGCAGCCTCAGGATGGCCTGGGAGGACACACCTTCTCTCTTCTGCCTCTGTCTGTGGCCAGTGCTCAGGATGAGGGGGCAGCAGCCACCCTCAAGGGAGATGTGCTGCCGGGACGTGGGATCCATGTCACCTGCTATGTCAGCCTGTGTGACAGTCCTCCCTGCCTCTGTAGGTCCCTCAGGGCTTGGGCGTGGGGCAGGCAGGACATGGCCCTGCATGTGCCCTTGCTGGGGAGTGGCAGAGCCTGGCCAGGGGGCTCACCCGGCTTCAGTTCCCACCCCAACCGTATCACCGCCCACAGCCAGGAAGTCAGCCGCAGCTGGCCTCACGTGGCAGAGTCGATGGGGGATTACAGTCCGCCAAAGCCGACAGCTTCCTTAGCTCAGAAGGCAAAGGGCTTATTAGAACGCTGAAATTGGTTCCAAATGAGGTCAGCTGTCGTCGAAGCGCCTTGGAGGGAAGCCAGGCACCGATCCGTGGCAAGCAGGGTTCATCTCCTGAGATGGTGGCAGTGACACCGTGTGGCACCCCCAACTCACCCCCACTCTTGGAGGGCGGCACACACCTATCCTGCCCAGGCAGAGCAGCAGAGCTGGGCGAGGGCAGCTCCCCAAGAACCAGACCCCGCCCAGCACAGAGGCTGTGTCCGGCTGGCTCAGCACTGTGCGTGCCCAGCAGGTACTGGGGCGGGCGGTGTCACCTCTGACGAGGGCGTGGACAGGACAGCTGAGCACTGCTTCCTGCCCGGGGGTCAGATTGCTGCTTCTCAAGGTGCATTGGTGCCAGGAAGGGCGTGGTGTTTGGCCTCGTGGGGACCGCTCCCTCACCCCACCCCCCTTCCTGGAGGTTGCATTTCTGGCCTGCCCTTCCCCCCTCCTGACTCCAGTGGAATTTCTGTGACCTTGGCTGCCGGGTGTGTGGCCCCTCCAGCTGAGAGCACAGCCGAGCAAATCCAGGTGTAGGCAGACTCTCCTTTCTGCAGCTGCCCCTCCTGTGTGTCAGGCAGGGACAGCCACAGACCCTGCTCCCTCACCCAGCGAGGACAGAGCAGCAGGGAAACAGGGCTGTCGCCCCCATCACCTGCCAGTCGATGGGGCTCCGGTGGTTGTTACATCTGAGCTCAACCACATCCTTTCTCTCGACCTGGGAAGGCAGCTTGGGTTCCAGCCTGGCTCTGAAATGGAGAACAAGGGTGTCTTCTAAATCTTGTTAAAAATATGCGGTGTCTGCAGCACTCTGGTGTTCACTAGGGGACACACACGTCGCTTTCCTCCTTGGGGCGCCTAGCAATGCTGATCTTGCCCCAGATCCGGGTAAGGAATGGGACCTTCTGCCTTCCTGTCCCCTGGGCTCAGGACTCCCTGGGCCCCTGCTCCTGGCCTTGCTAGGCTGAGACGAGCTGGAGGAACCAGAGATCTCTGGCTGCTTGCTTCCAGAGACGGAGGCTCTGGGCCAGAAACTCTCCCTAAATGGGCTCAGTTGGGCTCACCCCGGGGCCAGGCTGCAGCCCAACAGCACCCCACCTTTGCACCAGCAGCTTCTGACCTGTTGTTGCGTGTGCAAGTGGCACCTGCCACCCTGGGAGGCTCTGTACCAGCCCGCTCTGGCCACCCCCACAGCTCCACATGACCCCAGCAAAGGATGCAGTGTCCCCTGAGGCACTGCACCAAGTTTCTATGCAGAAGGACCAAGAGCCACCTCCGACACAGCAGGCTCAGGTCATCCTCGGGCACTGCAGAGGACTTAGGGTTGGGGCCACCATACTTGCAGGTTCCTAACACTGGAGAGAGGAGAATGGGGGAGAGAGGGAGAGAGACAAGGAGGGAGCAGGAGAGATCTGTCACTCTGGCCAGGCAAGGGTAGGTTCGCAGCAGAGGCCAAGCAGGATTTGGTCGTGCCAGGGGTCACTGTCTTGAAGGGGCATAGATTCAGGAACCCCACTCTGACTGAGCGGAACCTGTGGGCACTGGGACTCAAAGGAGCAGGCCTGCACCTCCCTATCCTCTCCCTACCCTCTGTCCTCGGCCTGCAACCCCCGCCCATCTGCCTGAGCAGCCATGGCACCAGCTGGAACTGGTGGGGAAACAGAGGAGGCAAAGGCGGGAGCAGCAGGCTGCGGGGAGCGTCAAACACAGCCTGTCTGGGGACTATGCTGTATTTTTAGTTTGAAATCGATCCACACCCCCAGTACTATAGAAACCATGTAGTTGACTGGGCTAAATCCCTGGCTACCGAAAGCCACCACTGGTCACCCCAGGAAGCACCCCTGGGACTCTGGGTGACGATGGGCCCCAGCAGCCTGAGAGGTGGCCCAGGCTGCGGAAGGTGCTGCTGTCCAGATGGACCTTAGCCGGTCCACTTCGATTTCTCCTGATGATAGCCATGTGTCATTAGTGCAATTAGGGGAGGGGAGGGTAGAGAGCACTTGCCCCGGGGCTCAGGCTGGTGGGAGGGACACCAGGACAATTGAATTCCCCACCAGACTAATGCAATTACCAGGCAGACTGGCCCTGGCCCCTCCTGGGGGCCAGGGCATAAATGGCCCAGTGAGGCCATGGAGCTCAGCCCCACCATGCAAGACCCCAGTCACCAGCACCGAGGGCCCGGGCTCCCCAGTCCCAGTGTGCGTGAAGCAGCTTCCATGTACGGCACAGCAGTCGCCGTCTTCCTGGTCATCCTGGTGGCCGCGCTGCAGGGCTCGGTACCCCCTGAGAACCCCTTCCCCTACCGCATCCTTCTGGACCCCCAGGGCACCCTGGAGCTCTCCTGGAATGTCAGTTACGTCCAGCAGGCCATCCACTTCCAGCTGCTGGTGCGTGAGCTCAAGGCCGGGCTCCTATTCGGGATGTCGGACCGTGGCGAGCTGGAGAACGCCGACTTCATCATGCTCTGGACCAACGGCGACAGGGCCTACTTTGCTGTGAGTCTCCCCACCCAGGGCCCCACCTCGACCGTGGCACCCTGTCTGGCCCTGCTCCTAAGCTCTCCCTCTTCCATCCGGCCGAGGGCACTTCCCTGCCACCTCTCAGCCAGGATGCGTCCCCAGTATGGGCACCATGGGCCACGGAGGAGGAGCAGGACATAGTACCTCCTAGGGTCCTCAACCGGGTGCCCCAAATGACACGGTGCCCCCTCCATGTGAATGCAGCCACAATGATACCCCATGCCACAAGACCAGGGCCGGCATACCCAACACAGCCAGGAGGTGGCACACAGTAGCACCCAGTGTCAGGACGGTGCACTCCTCCACCTTCTGCACAGCATACATGTGCGTACACACACACACACACACACACACACACACACACACACAGCCTGACTCCAGGTAAGGACAAACCCACTGAGGTCAGGACCTTGGTTTCTTCCTCGAAAATGAACCCCTACCCGTGCCTTCGAGGGTGCAGGAGGCAGAGTCTCTTTTCAAACTGCTGTGTCCTTTGGGGTCCCCACAAGCAGCAGGGGTCACCAGAAGAGGGAGAGCCTGAGCCAGGGTCATGACTTTTCCTTCCCTAAGGCGGGGGGGGGGGGACCAGTCACCAACCCCTCTCTGCACACAAACCCCAACTCTCCCCATGACCACAGGCACACGAAGGCCAAAGATGGGCTTTCTCCTGCTCAGGCCTCAGTTTCCCCACTGAAAGTGAGGAGAATTATTTCCTCCGTCCCTGGGTCCCTTTTTTGGGATGAGGCACTGAGGCTGGGATGGTCAGATCCCTTGCTTGAGGACAGTAGGCAGGGTGGGGCAGAGCTGGGCTGTGCGGTGGCTCTGAGACCACAGCCAGATTCCTGGGCTCAGGTGTCTGGTGCTGAGGGCTTGGATCCCCGCTTGACCTGGGAGCCCCTCCCTCTCGGGGCTTTCCCAGGGCAAAGGAGGAAGCCAGGGTGACACCAACTTTCGGTATCCCTCGAGGTTAAATAGTGCACCAAGCTCCTAAGAATGCAAATGTCAGGCCTAGAGTCACTCTTCTGGCCACCTGCACTACCTGAGTCCTGGCGTTCCCCTTCCTGCTGAAGCACCCAGCCACAGTGCTGCCGCTGCCGAGATAAGCCTATTCCAGGTCAGCGCCTCCCACCCAGGCGTGCTGCCTCCCTCTGGGAGAACGGTGCACGGTCTTCTGCAAGGCTCTTTTTTCTCAAGGAAATGAAACATGTTGTAGCCTCAGATACAGGATTAAAAGCACTGCCTGAAATCTTCACAGCAGCCTGGGGCATTCCTGATCCCTGCTGGCTGGGGAGGCTCTGCCCATGGGATCTTCCTCCAGGACAGAAGCCTGCTAGAGGCACCCTGGTGTGGGGGTGGGGGGCATCCAGGTTCTGGGAACCCTCCTGGGAAAATGCAGCCAGCCTCTCACTCCCTCTGAGCCTCAGTTTACACTCTTCAGGCAAGGCTGGAGTGGGGTGAGGGGAAGGAAGGTCGGGGTGCGGCTTGCTGTCAGAGTGGACACCGGGAGGTGAGCACAGCCACCTCCAATGCTTGGCCTGGTTTCTCTCTTGCTGCCCCCACGCTCCTCCATCCCCCTCTCCCATCCTCATGGCTCCCTCACCTCTCCCCATCCTGTCTCTCCCTCCTTCTCCCTCTCCCTCCCACCGTTCCATTTCTCTTCTCCTGGAGGAAAGGTGGTGGCATTGGTGCATGACCCTAGTCCTATTGTGTTAGGGTTAGGGTCAGGCCGTTCCCTACCCATAGGGGTTCCTGGGTCTCACCCCAGGCCTGGATTCTCAGGTCCCAGCCCACCTGGAGTCTGACCACTCCTGGCTGCAGCAGATGTGAGCAGGATGGGGCTCAGCTCCCAGCAGAGACAGATGTAGAGAGTTGGGAGGACTGGGGGGGGGGGGGGCTTGCCTAGCACACACAGGTGCAGGGCTCCTTCCCAGCACTGCAAAACAGACAGACAGATGGGAGGAGGGATCCACTTCAGGGAATGAGGTACAGGCTACAGTGTGAGAGTTGCACCAGGAAAGGGCCCTGGGCACCGGCCACTTCCTGCCCCAACCTGAGCCTCTCTGCAGGATGCCTGGAGTGACCAGAAGGGGCAGATCCACCTGGACGAGCAGCAGGACTATCAGCTGCTGCAGGCACAGGACACCCCGGATGGCTTGTCCCTGGTCTTCAGGAGGCCCTTTGCCACCTGTGATCCCAAGGACTACTTCATTGAGGTAACAACCCAGCATGCTTTGCCGCCTTTCACCGAGGGCCTTCGGCTTGGCTGGTGGCCTGTGCCAGCCTTGCTTTGTGGAGGTGGATGGCCAGTGCCATCAAGAGACTTGTTACCCACAGTTCCCAAGGGCAGGGCTGCAACGCTATGGAGACTTTTCGGGCAGTTGGGGGCGGAAGTATGGGTGGAGCTGGGGCAGGGCCAGGGGTCTCTGGCTGCTCTTCCTGGGCCTGAGGGCCCTGGTGACTGAGGTGGGGTGTGGTACACCAGCCAGTGAGGCAATGCCGGGATGGGTTCCACCCAGATTGAGAGCCACACACATCAGGAAGGCTGGGTCAATGGTTTACTGGGGATTGAATTTAGGGCCTTTGCACTGAGCTCCATCTCCAGCCCTTTAAAATTTTTGTTTTACTTTTTCATGTTGAGACTGGGTCTTGCCAAGTCACTGAGCTGCTCAGGTTAGGGTGGAACTGTTGGTGACCCTCCTCCCTCAGCCTCCCAGAGAGCAGGAATGAGGTCGAGCACCACCCTGCCTGGCTCAGGGGTCAGGTTTTGGACTGGAGATGAACAAATGGGCACCAAGTCCATAAATATAAAACATTGGTGGTTTCCTAGGAGAGGAAACTGAGGCAGGGCACCAAGATCTCCTGGGTCCCCACTGGTGGGGCTGGTGGTGGATGGGACACTGCAGACAATGTGGTTAGATTCGCTGCTAGGGAGCTCCGGCCAGCTTTCCCTGGGCCCTGACTCCTCAGGCCGGGCTGGCCTGACCAGGGGACACAAACCAGCCTTTGCCAGGACCTCGGGCTGGGAAGAGGGAGCAGGCATCCTGGCTGACGGTGGTTGTCACCTGCTGACTGAACACTAGGTGTGTGGATTTAGAAAGGCCTGGGGCTCTCGGGCCCGGGGAGTCAGCCTGGGGTGCAGTCCCAGCCATCACGAGAACCCCCTTGCAGGCAGAGCCAAGAGCAGGCCACCAGGTGGCTGTGGTGGGCAGGGACACAGAGCCCCTCTGGTGACAAGGTACCCACCCTGGGGGAGCAGAGTAGCCGATGACCAACCCTGTCTGACTGCAGGATGACACTGTCCATTTGGTATACGGGATCCTGGAGCAGCCGTTCCCATCACTGGAGGCCATCAACACCTCAGGTCTGCAGACGGGGCTGCAGCGGGTGCAGCTGCTGAAGCCCGAGATCCCCGTGCCGAAGGTGCCCGCAGACACCCGCACCATGGAGATCCGGGCTCCTGATGTCCTGATCCCTGGCCAGGAGACCACATACTGGTGTTACATCTCCGAGCTGCCCCAGGGCTTCGCCCGGCACCACATCGTCATGGTGTGTGGGGTTGGGGTTGCACTGTTGTTCCCAAGGGTGCCAGTGTCCCTGACCCTGGACAGCTCCCATGGTCCTGTGGAAACAGGTGCCCGCCTGCTGCCTGAGACCCTGGCACCTTGCTCACACCCACTCCAGGGCCTCTGAGCTCTGGCTTCTTGGCCTGGACCGCAGTAGCCAGGATTGAGATCTGTGTCTGTCCCTGGCTTGGGCCACTGCTGTCTTCTGTCCATCCTATGGGGAAGCAGCTTAAGAATTTGTTGGCTGTAGAACAGAAACAGAAGCTTTCCCTGGTCACCTACTTACCTTGTGGGGGTGAAGGTGAGGCCATGAGGAACGCCATCACAGCAGTGCCCAATACTGGACACTGCACCTATTTCCTGAGGACATTGAACAGCCAGGGGCTCAGTGAGTGCCCAGCACCACACAGCAGGGAACGGTGTGGCCAGAGCTGCAGCCGCCCCGCCTCTGCCAGGTGTGGGTCCCAGTGCGTTTGCCCTGAAGTTGCCCCGCATAGGAGACACAGCTGCCTTCCTGCCCCCACCTGATCAGGAAGTGGCCCACTTCCTGTTTTTGTCCCTCCAGTGGACTCTGCCTGGTTCAGGACTGTTCATCCCTCTGCCCTCTGTGTTTCTGGAGGCCATGTCCTGACCCCTCTCCATCACAGTAGGGCAGGGAAGGCCAGCAGGGCAGGGCAGACGTCTGCTGGGCCGGGCTCCCCCCTCAGAGTGCTGTCCCTCTGCAGTATGAGCCCATCGTCACCAAGGGCAACGAGGCCCTGGTGCACCACATGGAAATCTTCCAGTGCGCCGGCGGCTTCGAGAGCTTCCCCCACTTCAGCGGGCCCTGCGACTCCAGAATGAAGCCGGAGCGCCTCAACTACTGCCGCCACGTGCTGGCTGCGTGGGCACTGGGTGCCAGGGTGCGTGTGTCCTGCCCCTTGCTGAGTGCCCAGGCGAGGATGAAGTTGTCCATCCCCATTTCCCTGATGCACGGGGCTGCCCAGTGCCTGCCTCACCTGTAGGGCGTCTGTATCCCCAAACCCAAGCGCCCCTATGCCCACATGCTTTGTGGGTACCAGTTTCATGTTCTGATGAGTCAGGGTTTGGTGCAAAGCCTGGGGGGGCTGGAGGTGGCTGGAGAAGTTGTCATGGCCTCACGGGCTCAGTCCCTCGGGGTTGCATCAGTGACAGCCCCTGTCCAGGGAAGCATGAAGGGAGGAGGGGCAAGGCTAGCAAGGCCTAGTGCCCCTCTCCACAACCTGACCCTAAGTCTAACAGGAAAGCAGATGGCAGGGTACCAGTGTGATCCACGTGCCCCACCAATGCCACCACCCCCAGCTCAGTCCCCAACAGGTGGGCGTGTTTGTCTCTACCTGCCCAGGACCCTTCCCCGAGCCTGTGTGATCTCTCTGCCCCCAACCCACAGGCATTCTACTACCCAGAGGAGGCCGGCCTTCCTTTTGGGGGCACGGGGTCCTCCCGGTTTCTCCGCCTAGAAGTCCACTACCACAACCCGCTGAAGATCCAAGGTGAGCGCAGTGGCTGGGGATGGGGAGCACCTGGTGTTGCTTGGCCTGAGTCCCTAAGGCTTCAGCCTCTTACCTCACAACCCATAGAACCACAGGCCACCTGTGTCCCTGCTCTGTGTCCCTGCTCCCTGTCCCCCTCCCGGGACAGAGCCTGCAAGCCGGCTCCTCACTCAGCCCCAGGCAATGGCCTGGCACACAGTAGGCTCAGCACTTCCTCTGGCCCCGAACTACCCACCGGAGGAAGGCAGAGGACATCCCCACATCCCACTTTTCCAACAGCAAGGCTGAAGCCCAGGGGCAGGGGACCTTGCCAGGGCAGCAGAGTGAGCAGAGATGAGTCCAGCAGGGGTGGCCGTCCCCCACGGCCTCAGTCACACAGCCTTGCAAAGGCTGAGCTGCACGGGGCCATGAGCCCAGCTGGTCCCAGGCTGCCTCTGTAGACAGCACACCATTTGTCACCCTCGAGGATACGCAGCCACCAGGGCAGCTGTGGCTCTGCTGGTGGAAGCCCCAGCGCTGTGGGCCGTGGGGAGAGTGCCCAGTATAAGAGTCCATCCCTGAGGGGCTGGGGATTTAGCTTAGCGGCATAAGCGCCTGCCTTGCAAGCAGGCAGTCGTGAGTTCGATCCCCGGTACCGATAAAAATGAAAAAGACAAAAAAAAAAAAAAAAAAAAAGGAAAAAAAAAAGAGTCCATCCCTGACCAACAGGGCAGTACTGGAATCAATTAGTGAGGTCTTCCCTGTGCAACTGAGGAGCCCTTGGTGCCCTCACACCCAGACTGTCCCCGAAGCCATCTAGAGGGTAGCAGGGTGGTGCTCTGGCCCCCATTCACAAGTCCAGGGCAAGGACCTGCTCATGGTCACCTGTTGCCACAGTGCTGAGTCCACTTCCTTCTCCAGGCTCGGTTCTGATTGTGTACTCGAGGTGGCTCACGTGGTCCAGCTGAGCTCGGGGCACCCAAGGCAAGGGGCACCGTCCACCACCTTGCTGCACGCTGTACGGCGCCCAGCCTGGGAAATGCAGGCAGTGTTCTAACCACGCCAGTGTTTGCTGTGGGTCTGTGTTAGTGCTGAGCAGGGACGGCAGGTGGGATGAGCAAGACACATGCATGCCCTCAGGGACCTTCTGGAAGCGAGTGAGACAAGGGAGGCGTGCAAGCAGGCACGTATGGGAGCAGCAAGGATGAAGTGCACATCGGTGGCATTTAGCCCGGGCTTAGGGGACAGGGAGTCCCACAAGGGAGCTGCAGAGGGACAGTCTGTGTGGAGCAAGGCTGGGCACAGAGCGGAGAGGCACAGAGACTCTGCCGGGCCTGGCTGCTACGTGGGAGGCTGCTGGAGCACCCCGAGCCTGAAGGCGAACCAGCCAGAGTCTCTTTAGGATGGGAATGCCAGCATGCACTAGCAGAAACTGAAAATATTTCCTTCTCTCTGTTGTACCAGCGTCTTCCACCATCCTCGGCCTCTCCCCACCCCCACTTTTGGAACCACACTGATTTTATTTGAGCAAGGGAGAAGCAGAAACAGGCTGACTGACAGACAGGAGGCTCAAGGAAGCTGGGGAGCCCCGTGCTCCCTGAGCCGCCATAGCCCCGAGGCCCCATACCTCCCAGGGCCCCCCTCCCACCCTGCCCCCTGCAGGACGCGGGTGCGGGCTGCACTCAGCTGATGGCACCTGACTTTCTTGCTGGCTGTGCAGCGATACTTTCTCCCCCCCGCTGGAATTATCCATGGCAGACTGGGAGAAGGCCGCGGGCGGCTGGGGCTTTAGCGGGCTGCGGGATTTATTGCTCATTTAAAACCTGAAAGCAAATGGATTTTCGAAAACTCCTTAAGCATCAGGCAGTCTGTCTCCTCCTGATGATCTGGCTGTATTTACGGATCCTTTGCCAAATATAAGAAGGCTCCTGTCACTTCACGAGTCTTCAAAGAGATGCTTCTCCTATAAATATCAAAACCCAAGATTATCTCATTATTTACCCGCATCTGAGTCCTCACCACCTGCTGCTGCTTTTTATTATTATCCTGTGATGTTATCAGCCTGGAGACATGGAAGCCATCGGAGCCTGGATGTTGGGGGGCTAGGAGGGGCAGAGCTGATGGCCCCCCAATAGCACCCCAGCCACTGCTTCCCTAGAGTCTCAGGCGGGGTCTTCTGCCCAGCCTCTGCCCTCGGTTTTCCCATCTGTAAGTAGGGACAAAGTTTCTTAATGCGGTCTGAGGTGACAGATCAGGTGATGAGCTCCTGGCTCCGAGCACAGCGAGGGCAACACTCATTCCTGGCTGATTCCATCCCAAGGACATCCAGGCCACTGCAGGGACATGGGCAGGTGGAAGCATCCCTGAGCCTCTGACCTCCTGTGGCCACAGAGCCCCATCCAGGAGGCTACCCCATCTGGGACCCACAGTCTCCACGCTGGCAGACGTGCCTGATTCTCCCGGAAGGGGCCTTGACTATGAACTGAGACGGGGACAGTGAGTTGCCTGGGCCCACCCCCGGTGACCAAGCAAGGCCTGGACCATGCAGGACCCTGTGCACGCCTGGTCAGGCTTTTCCTAGGCAGACAGAAGGGTCAGGGGTTGCCACAGGGGTACCATGGGGGCCTGCTCCTCAGGGGCTTCTCACACTGTGCTCAGCACTCTCCTGCCCCGCACTCTCCCAGGAGACAGCGGGGACAGGTTCCAGGCCCTGTCCTGAGGTATCCGAGACATACCCTGACACCCTCGTACGCCCTGAGGGCTGATTTCCTGCCAGGACCGCTGTGGATGTGGACAACAGAGCAGACATGGGTGACCTTCTGCTTCCCGGTCCAAGACTCTGGGTCTCTGGATGATCGACCCTCAGGGCCACCGAGCAGCCTCCACCCATCATTTCCACCCCATAGGCCGGCGTGACTCCTCTGGCATCCGCCTCTACTACACGGCCACGCTGCGGCGCTTCGACGCGGGCATCCTGGAGCTGGGGCTGGTGTACACGCCCATGATGGCCATCCCGCCACGGGAGCCTGCCTTCATCCTCACCGGCTACTGCACGGATAAGTGCACCGAGCTGGTGAGCAGCCTGGGGCGGCCAGGGTGGAGGTGACGGTTCAGCTGCCCTGACCCCGAGCTGAGTGCATCCGTGGGTGCCATGGAGGCTGACGTCCCCATGTCCCAAGGGGCAGTGCTCACAGGAAACAGACACTTATGTGTGACTCTGAGGAGGAGCCCGCAGTCCGGAGTGGACAGAGTACATGTGGTCCTTGTCACTGTGTTGTGCTCTCCTGGCACAGCCTAGGACAACAGGCCCCCGAGGGACCGAAGAACCATTCCAGACAGCAGATCCTTCTCTAGCCTGGGGCTGACTTTCTTTAGATAGAAAGTTTCCTAAAATTCGTCACCCACTCCTTGTGACTCAGCCACATCCCCACCCTCGCCACACTCTGCTGCTTGGAGGTGCCACACGTGACTGGCTCTCCGCCAGGCTCCCAGCCACTGTCCCTGCCCCCCTCGTGGTGACACCTCTGTGCCCTGCAGTGATTTGAGGGACAGGAGCCCTCATGACCACATCTGTGACAATCTCAGGATGGGCCTGGGCGTTCGGGTTCAGGGGCTCCTGTGCTATGCAGTGACTCGTTGGTCCCTCAGGTCAACCGCTGGCCGCAGCCATGTGGCAAGGACCTTTCCCAAATGAAGCAGGCCATGCTGCAGGCTGACCTGATGCCTGGCACACGGTGGCCCTGCCAAGCACGGCACGAGAATCCAAGTTGTCATCTCACAGACCCGGGGCTGTGGTCAGGGGCCATCCTACTCAGCTCGGTGGCCCCCTTGTGCCTTGCCCACAGGGTGCAGATGGTGGGTAACCTTGGGGCAGAGGACAGAAACGACCCCTGTGTGACAGGGCCAGGAAGGGTGAGGCAGCTCTCAGCCCTTCAGCCCTGCCTGGCCTGACGGGGAGCTGACCTGACCAGAGAGGAGACAAAGATGCCCAGACAGCAGAGGACTTGTCCCTGCTGCCAGTCCCCATGGCTCCCGGCTGGACCCTGATTGTGTCCTGCCCACCCACAGGCCCTGCCGCCCTCCGGGATCCACATCTTTGCTTCTCAGCTCCATACACACCTGACCGGGAGGAAAGTGGTCACTGTGCTGGCCCGGGACGGCCGGGAACTGGAGGTGGTGAACAGGGACAACCACTACAGTCCACACTTCCAGGTGGAGACCCTGCCCCCCCCCCGGGCCAGCCCCAGAAACTCCCCTCTGCTGTCCTGCCTGTGTCTAAAGGAGCAGGGCCTCCAACGGTACATTTGGGGTCTGGAACATCGTCTTCTTGTTCTAATCCCATCCCCTCCACCCAAAACCCACACTTGGAGTCCCTAGCTCTCCAGAGAGGCCAGGAAGTGCTGGTGGGCAGGGATGGAGGAGCAGGGTGGCTGGGAGCGGGACATCCCACTCTGTTCTTTCCCACGCAGGAGATCCGCATGCTGAAGAAGCCCGTGACTGTCTCCCGGGTGAGTGTGGGGCAGGGACGAGGTGGCCAGAGGAGGAGGAGGAGGAGGAGGGGTGGGGAGAGAAGGGGACTCAGGTGGGCAGTGTGGCCCATGTGGGACACAAGCAGGACTTCCAGGAGGTAATCGGTGGGCCTGTGTCAGACCCCAGCCTGATCAGCCAGACCACAAACCTCAAAAGCCTCAGGGAAAGACAGGATTTGGAGTGGGCACCCCTGTGTCCCAGGAGGGGAAGCCATGGCTGGGCAGGGAGGTGGACTATCATGTGGCCAGGTGTGATGTGTCCTGTCTCCGGCCCGGATCCCCTGGGAACATGGAGACTGTGGCCTCATGGGGAATGTGGCAGCACATGCTCCACGGCTCAAGCCCTTGTGAGCTGCACCCAGGAGCTCGTGAGAGGTACTGACCATCTGTCGACCTGCCCCAGGGGGACGTCCTCATCACTTCTTGCACGTACAACACGGAAGACAGAAAGCTGGTCACTGTGGTAAGTCACCAGCCCTCTCTGGTCCAGGTGTGGGGTGGAGGATTTCTGTGGCTCTCCTGAGACCTCACCCTAACTCCTCCACAGACTCAGGGCTGTCCAACCTCACTTCCCTATTAGCCAGCCACCCTAGGAGAGTAGCCTCCATGCATGGGCTCAGCGTCCCTGGCTCCAGTGTCCCCTGAGCATTCCGAGGAAAGGCAGTATCTCAGACACTGAGCTGGTCCTGCTGAAGCCCAAACATGGGCAGCGATGCCACTGATCTATGCTCAGGCCACACTGTCACCTGCTCCAGCCTGGCAGCCACTCCGGTGGACACTTATGGGCACAGTGTGCCTACCACTGGGCAGGGCTCCAAGCCCCCCAGAGGACAGAAATGCCTTCAAGAAAGCCAAGTGATGGTAAAACGTTGAAAAGCAGACCCAGGGGGCAGGGAGCCAGAGGTGGTCAGGAGAAGGTGGTGGAGGGAGCCGGGCGAGGGCCGTGGCAGGGCTGGAGGATGGCTGAGGGAGCGGTGTGCAGCCAGTAGAGGCTGGAGACGTGGCCGGGACCTGGCAGATGTGTGACCAACAGCCAGAGGGATGTGCCAGAGGCTAGCTTGGCTGGGCTGTGATGATCCAGGCTGCAGGGGCCGGGGAGGGACCATTCTCCTGGTAGCGTGGTGTCCATGCAGCCTTGAGAGACTGGCGGAGAAGGGGTCATCCTGCTGGGGTGTGGAGGGTCCCAGAACTTCTCCTTCACTGATGAAGGCACTTCCCAGTCTTCCCTCAGTGACTTGGGACACTGGGGGCACCAAACACGGGGCTGCATCTACCCCACACCCAGACGTCGTAGCTCCACCCTGCACTGGACACAGGTCTCTTGCGGACACCTGATGGGCCAGCAGCGCTACCCTGGTTATGGTTTTTGCCGGCTCTAGGGTGGAATTCTCACACCACAGCATGTACATGCTTCAAGTGCGCACCTTGGTGACTTAGTCTATTCCCAGATACTCCTGATTCCAAGGGGGTCTCATTCAGGGTCGCCCACTCACAACACCCATAGGACAGGCCAAAGCCAAGGAACATTTGCATTGTCTTCACCTCTCTGTTAGCTTTGCTCCAAGGTAGGAGCTGTCACTTGCTTTCTCCTCAGGTGAGCTCTGAGACCTCAGAGAGGGCAGACCCCTGTCCAGGGGCTCCGCAGATAAAGCACTGTTCCAGACAGTTCTGGGTACTGTGAGTGCCCGAGGACATCTTGCTACACCCTTCTGCTCTCCTGGGTCTGAGGTGGTGACTTCTCTAGATCATGGTCTTGGGGTTCAGGACAGACTGGTGGGCCTAGCATCCTTATTTTTCTAAAGAGGCTCAGTCTGTGACAACAGCAGATGGCCTGGGTGCTCCAGCTGCAGCCCAGTCCTGTCCTGCAGGCATGGCACTGGTGACCCAGGAGAAGGACTTGCAGGACCAGGAACTTGCAAGTGACAATGGGGCAGCCCCCAGGCCTCCTGTCCAGGGCAGACACTAGTCCCTGGCTTGTCAGCTCCGTGAGTGGTACACGCAGCCCTGGGCAGCAGATCACAGGCCCAGGGTCAGGGGCTTCTGCTGGTGTCAACCTGTGCCCTCCATCTTGAGGCCAGGAGTGGTCAGAGAGGGGGGAATCTTTCCACAGGCAGGGCCAGGAAGGGAAGCTTCCTCCCAGGAGAGGGGGGTGGAGGCACGGGCCACTATGGCCCTGGGGGATACGGGGCAGGGCAGAGAACTCAGGGAGCAAGGGGCACAGACGCTGGGGACAGGGACTTAGGACCAGAGGCCAGTGCAGGCCACTGCCAAGTCTAGTGGGGCTGTCGCAGGCCGGGCCGACCTGCTCACTGTGACTTTCGTGGCAGACAGTGCAGAGAAAATACCCGGGGCCATCTCCACAGAGAGCCCAGCTGAGCCCTGCACCTGCTTTTGTTCTGCCAGAGTGGTCAAGGCCTTTCTCGCCCCAGCCCCCATCACTGTCCAGACAGCTGGGGTGGGGTACTGTGCCACGCTGTCCAGTCCCGGCTCCACTGTGAGCTCCACGTCTCTGGCTCTGAGAGCTGTGACAAACGGTGCAGTGAACTCTAGGCCCTGGCCCCTCTGGAGCCCTGCTCCTCTCCACCAAGATCTGGAAGTGACCAGAAGTCCCTGTTCAGGAAGCTGCATGCACCCAGACAGGGCTGTCCTCATCCTCCTGAGACTCAGTTCTGCACCTGGAAACAGGGACAGCCACAGCCCTGACCCCAACGCAGACCTAACAGTCTCCAAAGCCTTGTCCCGAGCTGACCCGTCTCTCCTGCAGTATGGGGGGTGCAGCCCCCAGGAGGAGGGACCTTGTTCCCTGCTCCCTGCTGGCTTTGGACGGCTGCCTGGTCCTGCACCCGAGAGGATGACAGTGCCTCAGTTACGTCGCTGGGTGCCGGTGTCTAGGACGGAACCAGCACTGACAGGTGTTTCCGGCCCCCCAGGGCGGCTTTGGGATCCTGGAGGAGATGTGTGTCAACTATGCACACTACTATCCCCAGACGCAGCTGGAACTCTGCAAGAGCACTGTAGATGCCGGCTTCCTGCAGAAATATTTCCACCTGGTGAACAGGTGATGTCTGCCCACCCTCTGATTCCCAGGGATGGTGTTGGGAGGAGGGCGAATGGGAGGAATCCTGGCCAAGCTCCTGGACATGGCTGTGTCCCCGGCAGACATCACTAATCAATGCCCTAGTTCACCATCTGGCCCTGAGCAGAAGCCCAGCCCCACACAGAGGGGCCCACACATCCTCTCAGGAAGTGGCAGAGGGCACAGGGCCTGGAGGAGCAGTGCTGGTGCTCTGCTGTCCCCGACAGGCCCCTCCCTGTGTCCACACAGGTTCAACAGCGAGGAGGTGTGCACTTGCCCGCAGGCCTCCGTGCCCCAGCAGTTCGCCGCTGTGCCCTGGAACTCCTTCAGCCGCGACGTGCTGGCCGCACTCTATGGCTTTGCGCCTATCTCCGTGCACTGTAACAAGTCCTCAGCCGTCCGCTTCCAGGTGCACCCTTGTGTCCGGACATGGGGGTGCAGGGACCAGGCTAGTCTCCCTCAGCCCCAGCCCTGCTGTCACCCACTGTGCAGAAGGTGGAGGGCATCAACCAGGGGCGAAGGGTGAACCCCAAATGGTGGGCAACAGACACTCAGCCAGGATGACAGACGGGGACCCCAGTGTGCGGGGACAGATGTGTGACACTAATGCAGCCGCAGGTTGCGACAGGGCAGTCGCCTCTCTCAGGGACAACCCAACACTTAATCTGCTCCCTGACCAGAGGTGGGGGGTGAGCAGGGCACCCCAGAACTTAAAATAAAGTGCTGGGGGAAGAGAGCGTGAGAAACCTATGGTGCAGCCAGCAGGTCAGCCAATCTTCCTCCTCTCCTCCTCCTCCTCCTCCTCCTCCTCCTCCTCCTCCTCCTCCTCCTCCTCCTCCTCCTCCTCTTTGTCCTCTTCCTCTTTTTCCTCCTCATCCTCCTGCTCCTGCTCATCCTCCTCCTCTGCTCCTCCTCCTCATCCTCCTCCTCCTCTTCCTCCTCTTCCTCATCCTCCTCCTCCTCTTCCTCCTCTTCCTCCTCGTCTTCCTCCTTGTCCTCCTCCTCCTCTTCCTCCTCTTTGTCCTCTTCCTCCTTTTCCTCCTCCTGCTCCTGCTCATCCTCCTCCTCTGCTCCTCTTCCTCCTCCTCCTCCTTCTCCTCTTCCTCCTTGTCCTCCTCCTCCTCATCGTCCTTCTCCTCTTCAAGAGCCGGTAGGGCTCAAGGCTCCTATTTCTTCCCCTGCCGTGGGCTCGGGCCACGGGTCTGGGAGTTTTCTGGGCATGGAGGCTCTGCAGCCCAGCTATGGGAAGCAGCTCTTTCTGGGAGCTCTGGGGGAGCTGGTTCTCCCCAAACCAAATGCTCTGGCGCAGATGACAGCATGGAGTGGACAGCAGAGGCAGCTGGGAACCGGGCATTCCATGCCATGGTGTCAGTGCGTGGGGGCAGTCCCTGAGCATGGAGTGGAGGGTGTGTAAGGAAGAGGAAGAGGCCTGAATGGCTCCAGGGCTAAGTCACTGAGAAAGGCGGGGTCCATCTGGGTGGGACCTGAGGAGAAGCTTGGGGAGAGGAGCTCAGATCAGAAGAGGGGAGCTGAGGGCAAGAACCCAAGAGACTTTTGGGAAAAGTAGCCAGGGAGGTGCCATCCTTCCTACCTCCCAGCCTCAGTTTACCTCTTGTCCCTTTCTTGCAGGGTGAGTGGGATCTGCAGCCCCTGCCTGAGATCATCTCCACCCTGGAAGAGCCCACCCCTCGGTGCCCAGCCAGCCAGGCGCAGCGCCCTCCTGGCCCCACCGTGGTCAGCATTGGCCTCAGCAAAGGCTGAGCATGACCCTGCTCCTGCCCTCTGCTCTGTGCCGTCCTCCTGGCTCACGCACACTGAGGAACATCTGTGCAGCATGGTCTGCTCCAGCTCTCCACCCCCAGCCCCTACCCTGGGTCCCTGCATGGCTGAGCGGCTCCAGGTGACAGATGTGGCCTCTTCCACCCCTGTGGACTCTGTAAAGGACCAGGACTGAGGGGTCCTGGGACAGAGACTCCCCCCACGCCACGTGCGCCCCTTGTTTCTGGCGGTCCCCGTTGGTATGTATGGTGCCAGTGCTTCTTAAACTTCTGCAGTGCGGCTGTGTTTCCTGTGGGCGGCGTCCCTGCCCCAAGGCAGGACAGGTGTGCGGCTGGTCAGAGGCTTGCCCAAGAAACTGCTCCCACCCAGAGGGGAATCCTAACTCTCCCCACCCTGAAAACAAGCTGATCAAGAGCCAGCAGGATCCCGGGGAGATGCCAGGGTCCTGAGGCACCCTGGGAGATGTCAGGATGGGCGCCGTGGCTTTGGCAGTTGGGGAACCAGCAGGGAGTGGGCCAGGCTCGGGACTGAGGCTGCATTGTTGACCCCTGGCCACCACTCAGAGGCTGTGACAGGTGGGCTGCCAGGCGGGCTGCCTTGCTGCCTGGCCTCAGCTCTCTCGTCTGTTAGGTGGCTCACGTCAGGAGGGCTAGCCAGGGAACGCCCTGCTGAGCCTCCCTGCGGCCCCTGTGGCCCAACACCCTGCCCATGGCCAGGCACTGCCCTAAGCTGCAGGCCGCTCCAAGCGGACACCTAAGGCCGGCTCTGCTTGCTGTTGTGGATGCCGGAGGAGTGACGGATTTGGCTCCATTCAGCCAGGTCAGCAGAATGCTGCTCGTCCGGTGACAGGGCTGATTGATGGGCCCTGGGTCTCCCTCTACAGATGGCAGCTCAGTGGCCGCAGCCCCTCTAGCCAGCACTTCATTATGGCCTGGAGCACCCAGCCCCTCCGCTGCCACGCTGTAAATCATGCTCTAAGTCACAGGGCGAGACCACTTCGAAATGCCAGGCTGACACCACAGCCAGAGCCCTGGGCCATCTGTCATCCTTACAGCACCAGTGACGGGGAGCGGCCCCTCCCTGGCTGGCCAGTGACAAAGACCCTGCAGGCAGCACAGGCTCAGGGAAGGCTGTGAGGGGGACTCACTGGCCCCAGGGCAGCCAGACTTCCCAATGCCACTGTACCCCAAACTCCAAAGGGCCCTGGTGTGTGCCACATACAGATAGGAAGTACCTCACTGGGGTCTCAAGAGGACCCGGACTAGGACTCACTCCCATCCCCACAGTGCCATCTGCAGTGACACCTCAAACCCACAGTTTCCCTGCCCCACTCCCCCTCCCAGAGACCTCAGTGGCACAGTTCCCCACCCCCGCCCCTGCCAGGGTGATCAGTGCAGCCTTAGAGATGCCACCCTGCACACAGCTCCAGGCAGCCTAATGAACCTGCCAGACCCCACTGTCTTCCCTGGACAGATGAGGAAACTGAGGCCCGAGCTGGTGCCAGCATCCTCCAGAGCGAGCTATGGAGCCTGGGAGGGACCCGGCAAGATGTGGTGGCTCCAGGCTCTAGGCCCCCAACCTCTATGCCCTCAGTTATGAGGCAGGAAGCCAAGGGCGCAGGATTAACCAGCAGGACACGGGTACACTCATGGCCATCGGAGGGGCCCGCATGGCCAGCTCCCCCTATAAGCTCCAAGGGGTTCTCAGGCTCTGCCCTCCAGAAAGACTGGGGTGGTAGAAAGAGTCCAGGGTGAACCTTGCTGCATGGCCCTGAGGACTTCCCTCTCCTTGGGCCACGGTCTCCCCATGAAAGGCAGGGGTGACCTGTATGCCATTGCTTGAGGGGAAACTGAGGCAGGAGTTGAACAAGGGGGGATAGCAATCTGAGATCCTGTGCCATGGGCTGGTGGCTCTCAGAAGGCTTTCACGCTGCAGAAATGGGGGACAAGGCTTCCTAGTCCTCCCGCTGTCCTGGGTCTATGAGGCAGCCATCCTGAGGGACAGCCCAGCCCATCCATCTTCCTGAGCCCTTCCTGAGCCAGGGCAGGCATTGCTAATCGATCTCCATCACTCTGCCTGATTCCCAGCTCTCACCCAAGGGCTCCAGCTGCCCCATGCTGCCCAGCTGAGCTCCAGCCTCTACTCGGCTTACCAAGTTTTACTTTGAAGCTTCTAAGAAATTCACGGGGTTACAAAGTGAGGTCCTTGTGCCCCAAACCATACAGATGTGCTTCCGGGGAGGTTTCGGGTGAACTAGATACACACTCCAGTCAGTGGGCACTGGCCAGGCCACGGTGATCTCCGTCCTTTCCTGGTTTGGGGGGTGGCAGGCTAAGGACAGGGAAGGCCCCATGGGGGTGACAGGTATGCTCCCCCTGTGTGGCCACAGCCCTGCCTCAGGCCACTCAGTAGATTCCCTTCACCCTCTTGTTGTCAGGATCGAAGGGGGACTTCAGGTGAACCTGGGCAGCGTAAGAGACTCCCATCCTCTCCAGAGCATAGTCCCCACTCTTCACGAAGTCCAGCGAGACCTAAGGGTGGAGGGGACAAGGGTCACTCCCGTCCTCCGGTGGGCCTTGGACTCCTCTCACCTGGGGAGGCTGACCATGCCTGAGCCCAAGCCATCCCCCGACTCCATGCATGGGCACACAGTGGGAGATCAGGGTTCTCTGCCCTGCACTAGGGGGTCTCCCTACTTTCCAGAAGGTGTCAGGTGAGGGGGGCATCAGCAGGGCTCTGCAAGCCAGGTCTGGTGACTGCGGAGAAGGGGCTCCCCCAGGCTGCACCCTCCCACCCCAGGAATCCCAGATCCCAGGAAACAGGGACTGCAGGAGACCCCGGACCTAGGCCAAGACCACAGCTGTGCCGGCAGAACAGGAGGCCAGCAGCCAGTGCACAGTCCTCAGGGACAGGCAAGACGGAACAGCTCTGGACAGTGTGGCCTCCCCAGTCCACACGCTGGACCAGCCTTCCCAGCAGCCCTTGAGGGCCAAGGGTGGTGCTGTGCCCAGCTTGGCTCAGTTGAGGGTGCCACTCTCGCCATGCCATGGGACATCTGGGCCACCTGAGGGCCTGCTTCTCCTGGACGCAGCTGCGGGCGTAGCCGGGGCTCTGGCCTGGGACTTGGGAGCCTGCTCACATCCCTAGCATCTCACGATGAGGAGAGAAAGAAAAACTAACATGGCTTTCTGCACCTCAGAGCTTTAGGGGTGAGGGAGGAAGGAAGACGGTGTCCAGGCATGGGCAGGGCAGGCACAGTACCTGCTAACAAACACCCTCGTGGCCAGAATTCTGCCCCTGGCTGGCCTTTCCTCCTGAGATGGAGCAGGATTCTGTCTGGAAAGAAATCTGCACCTTCACTGCACCTCGGAACAACCTAACAACTCCCAGAGTAGGGTCCGGGTCTATAATCAGATAAATCACAGCAGCTCTGATCCCCAGCGCTTGGGTCCTGGCCGATGGTGCCAGGGTTTTGGCGTGGTGTCCTGGGCCACCTTCGAGACAAGGCACCCCCGCCAACCGGCAGGAAGGACAGGCAGGAGGCTCTGAGGGAGAAGGTGGAGCCAGTGCTCTCTCCTGGCCTGAAGGGGTGAGCCTCTCTGGGCTGGGACCCTACTTGGCTTCCCCCTCAGCACGGCCCTGTGCCCTGTGAGGAGGTCATGAGGGCTGGTCCCTATTTATAACTGAGAAAGTGGACCCAGAAAGTGGCCCCTTATCCAAGGCCACGGAGCAAGGAGAGGGCAGAGCCCCAAGGCCGATGATGTCCAGCTGTGTTCCAGCCTGGCCGCCGTGCGCAAGACCCCGCCTCCCCAGCTGCCACCCTTCCCAGGCACAGCACTGGTCAGTGTGGCCATGAGCCTCAGAGGGAAGGGCTGGAGCCGGGTCAGAGCCTTGGGGCCATGTGGAGCTGGCACAGAGGCCTCACCCAGGGCTACCCTGCCTGTTAGTCCCATGACCAGCTCTAGGTGGACTGGACTCGAGGAGGGAGGGGTGTGGCCCCAGGAAGCCTCTGGGAACCCGGGTTGCAGCCCCCAGCAAGAAGGCATGCAGTAGCTCCAGGTTACAGTGTCTAGTTTCAGGAGCCCAAGGGCATTGACCCCTGCCCAACCCCTCCTCCACCCAACAAAACTCCTGAGCGGCCAAAGTCAGGTTCCTTCAAAGAGCAAACAGAGAGAGGATTGTGCACTGGGCAGCTGAGCAGTCATCCCTGGGGGGCATAGACTGCCTCTCTCCTCCCTACCACCCAGCCCCTCAAGGCCCAGGCCATGGGGCTCACCGGCCTGCCGCTGGGGTCACAGATGTAGCCGTAAGCGATGGTCTTGTCCACAGTGAAGCCGAAGTCGGCCCTCCGCACATGGCCCACCACCTGGCCGTCCCTCCAGATGGCCTCCAGGCCGAACATGGGCACCTTTCTGGAAGAAGCAGTAGAGGGAGATGGGACCTCCACTCCAGGGCAGAGGCTTCCCGCTGTGGCCTAGGAGAGCCCCGCCAGCTCCATGGCAGGCTGCTGGTGAGCAGAAAATGCAGGACCATGGCTGCTCAAGGCCCACAGGAGCGAGCCTGCTGTGCAGAAAGCCCAAGGGAGGGGTCTAGACGTCCTTTACTGGTCCCACTTTGCTGCGGTCCAGTCACTTATCACAGTAGGACACAGTTTCTCCATGGCACGCACAGAGCATACTCAAAATAGGGGACAAAGAAACGAGCAATTAGAATCACAGAATGTGGCACCCAGGGGTGCACCCGAGGACGTCTGCACACTGTGGTCCTGAGGAGCCCACGCAGAGCCCAAAGGGCCCCGCGGATTCAGATGCCACCTGGGTCTGTGGCCCAGAGTGGGGCCACCCGGGTCCCCCCAGACAGATGGGGTATGGACCCCATCTCCTGTGGCCATGCTGGGACCAGGCAGAGTGGCACTGTGCTTTCTCAGGGTTCCCTGGTGCACCCAGAGCTTGGCACAAAGGACAGGGCTGTTCTCTGCCCCAGAGGTCCTGGTGGCAGCAGGGGCAGGAAGGGTCTGCAACAGAGCACAGAGAAGGTGCATCCCAGGCTGCCTCGGGGCAGTGACAGGTGCCAGCCCATCTCCTGGCCCACTTCTGCTTAGGAGTCTGGGAGAAGAGGCTGTGGGGGCTGGGCTGTCAGGACCTCTGGAGATGAGTGTCTCACCTCAGTGACAGCTGAAACTTCTCGGGGTCCAAGGGCTCCAGGAGCCCGAGAATTGCAGGGTCTCCCTCTGCCTCAGCCCTGTACCGGGTGTGACCCTGCCCTGCTGCTCACTGTCCCCATGTGGAAGTGGTATGGTGGCTCCTCTCACCCCATCTCAGGGCCATGAAAGAGTGGCTGGTAGTGATTGATGATTAGGCTCTGGGGGCCAGGTTGGGTCCCCCAGCCTTGGGCTCTGGCTCAGCGAGGCAGTGCCCCTTTCTCCTGGTCTCCATTTGCCGGGTGAGCCTTTCCTGCCTGCCTCCAGCTTCACAGGACCTGCCCAGCCCCAGGCATAGATCTGCCTGCACAGAAATGCAGGACCTCCAGCTCTAGTGCAGGACTGTGCCAGCTATGTGTCTCCTGGGCCTCAATCTCCCCATCTTGAGGGCTACAGTGTGCATTCTGGGGGAAGGGTCCCCTATGGTGGCCAGGATACCTACTCCTCCACAGTGAGGCACACGAGGCGGCGGCGCAGGCCCGAGGCCCGCTGCTGCTCCAGGGCCTCGCGGCCCAGGAAGGGCACGGCCGACTTGAGCTTGCACGTGAAGGCCAGGCCAGCCTCCAGGGGGCTGTCATCAGACCGCAGGTCCGCATGCCAGTGCCGATAGCCTGGGGACAGAGGGCCACAGGTCAGTGCCCAGCCAGGGGGACAGTCCCATCCCTCCCACCTCAAACCCCTCCTTCATGGCTGCACAGCCACCTGGGCTGCCGAGGGTGGGCTTGGGGAGCATCCTGGACCCCAAAATCTCCCCATGTGAGCCCCTGGAACAGGCTGGCCCTATCCTAGCCCATTAGGCTGGGGATAGTGGGGTGGACTTCAAGGAGTGCTGGGCAGCCTTAGTGGAGGGATGGGGTGTGACTAGGAACAGGCTGTGCCCTTAGCTTCCTTGAGGCCCTGGCTTCTGTCCCCAGCATGAAAACACCCCAAACCCTCAGAACGGCCCCAGTGCCAGTTCAAATCCCACCCTTGCCTTGTTCCCCATAGAGACTGGACGGACCTCACCCGAGTCCAGGTGTGTACAGGCATGGGGCCCCCATCACTATCTTGGGGGGCCTGCACAGGCCAGCTGGTATATGGCCATGGGAAGGCAGGAGCAAGTGGACAGAGCTCAGAGAATGAAAGTGCAGTGGGGAAGGAAGGAAGTGGTGACAGGCGGGACCTGGGCCTCCAGACCTGGCACCCACCTTTCTCAATGCTCAGGGAGTCGATGGCACGGTACCCAGCATTGACCAGGCCGTGCTTGGCTCCTGCGGTCATCAGGGCACGGTACACAGGCACGCAGGAGGCCCGGGGCACGTGCAGCTCCCAGCCCAGCTCCCCCACGAACGACAGCCTCAGGGCCCGGACCTGGGGAGAGGTAGGCACGGCCAGGCACACGTGAGGCCCAGGCCACAAGGGGCAGTGCCCGCCATCACCACTGCCCTTTGCCAGCCCTGGCCTGGGCCTTGTAAAGCGTGTTCCAGGGCTGCTCTGCATCTTCCCTGTGGAGGAAGGGTAGAAAGGGTTGCCACTTGGGAGTGGGGGTGCTGTGGTCACTGTCCCTGGATCATAAGGACTTAGTTTTTCTGTGGTCACACCAATGATCTGGGGCCTTGAGGCAATGGAAAGGGACTCTCTGGGAAGTTCCCCCAGAACTGAGGCTGGCAGGGCCCCAGTCCCGGACAGATTTCCAGGAGGGTCCTTTCCCTCTCTTTGGGGTGCTCTGACGCCTGGGCTGGGGCCACCTCACCCCAGCCTCACGCCCTGTCTTCACGTCGCCTCTGCCCTGTGTCTGCACCTCCTCTCCTGTCTCTTGGATTGCTTTGGTCACCGAATTTGGGGGCCAGGCTCACCCTAATTAATCTCTCCTTAGTTACATCGGAGGACCTTGCTTTCTAATATGGTCACACCACAGGCTCAGGACACAGACGGGCCTCAGGCCACAGGACAATCCACAACCTCATGGCTTCCATTTGACCTTGACTTCCCTGCTCTGTCCTCAGGAGCCCCTGGCCACAGTTAATGGACACGGGAGCATCAGAAGAGGATGAGTTGAGTCTGACACTTTAGAAGTCAGCTGTGCACTAGTGTGGCCAAGCTGGGCCAGGCATTGGGATCTGGGGACCAATGCAGTCTCTGCCTCCAGGGCTCAGGTCCCGGCAGGAGAGGACACTGCTGGGAGGGAAGGACCAGCCAGGGAGGACGGCCCTGACTGGAAGGCCAGGTCGGCAGACAGCTGAGCTTCTGCGTCCATTCCACCCCTTCACAGTCCAGCCCCTGCAGGGCTGGGGACCACTGTACATCATGTCCTCAGACTGATGCCAGGACAGAGGTGGCCAGAGGGGCCCCCAGCCCTGCCAGGAATGTCCCACACTCCCACACACCACAGAGGCCACGGCCAACACGGAGTTTGTAATACCCAGGGGGATGCGACCTTTCTGTTCACGTGGTTTGGACACAGGTCACCTGCACCCAGCAATCGACACCTGATCCTACCCCTCTGGGAGGCTCTGGACCACAGCGTCCCACGGGTAAGGCCTGACGCTCAGCTGGGGAAGCTACGAAGCACACAAATGGACACAGAGGTGCAGGGCAAGAGGCTCAGAGCTGCCCAGAGCTGCAGGCACAAGGCGGAAGGGCCCAAGGCTTTGTGTCTGTGCCCTCTGCCAGGCCCACTGGCTCCTCTCCAACCTGACACCTCAATTGCATCACTGCACGCGCCCCAGGGCTGGATTCCAAAAGCTTTTAAAGCATCATAAATTTGCTCCACACTGCCATTTTCCTGGGCCTTTCAAAAACCTCAAAACTGATGCAGAAAATGTACTGCTGACATTTCTCAGCTCGCCTGGCGCAAGGCGTAGGCCCCTGACGAAGACCGCCTTGTCACCGGGTTCTAATTTTAGCGGGGCTCAGAGCCAGCCTCACTCAGATACAGGAAGAAGACGCAAAGCATGTGCACAGCTGCCCCCAATGCTGACCCTGCTTGCACACTGGTCCTCACCTAGTCTGTGAGTGGACGGAGTGCCCAGGAGTGAGTGCTCTTCCTGACTCAGCTTCCAGGGGCTCAGAGTCCCGAGGGGCTGGGCCTGGGTCTCCCCTGTGTCCTCCCTGTGTCTCTGAACCTAGCCCAGCCCAACTGCCAGACAGCACAAGCAGAGGGAAGGCAAGGGCCAGGGAACTGTGCTGGCCTCTGGAGTTCACGGAATCACTGCTTCTCCAGAAACCGAAGCAGCAGGGTTGTAGGGGTCTCACTTCTCCTCATGAGGATACACAGGAAAGGTCAGGCTGGGATGCTGGCTCCAGAGGCTTTAGAAGTCCCATGTGGAGGCAGAACCCTTGCAAGATGGAGCCTCTAGCAATGGGGAAGGTCGACAGGAAGAGTCTTAAACTAGGTTTTGTGTGAGTCCTTCTCTCGCTCTAAAGATTACACACACATTCATGTGCATGTGCAAACACACACACACACACACACACACATGAATTCAGCAGTTTCAGGCTCCAAAGCCAATGCATAAAACACGGCTGATTCTATACAATAGCGATGAACAATCCAAAGAAAAATTAAGATAAATCCATTAACAATGTCACCAAGAAGAATAAACCTAACCCAGGGGGTGAGAGAGAGGAAGACGGCACAAATGGACTCAGGGAGTCTGTGCTCTTAGACTAGGAGACAACACCGCTCAGATCTCCTAGACTCAAACAGTCCAGGGCTCAGGCCAGTCCTTACCAATGTCCCAGTGTGTTCATTCTGCAGACAGGAGAAAAGCTCACCTAAAACTCGTGAATCCTGAAGGACCCCAAACGGTCAAATTGGCTTTTAAAGAGCACAAAGCAGGAAGAATCATCTTTCTGACCTCCGAAAGTATTGTGGGAGGACAGGGACCAAGAGAATGCACTGCTGACACAAGCCAGAGCCTGGAGCCTCAGGGTAAAGGAGATCACCCCGAAGCGAGCCTCCCTTCAGAGGACCCCGAGACCGTGTCCTGAGAGCTCCCGCTGGGGAAGGATCAGATCTGTCTCTCCATAAATGGTATCGAGAAAACCGATACCCACGTGTGGTAGAGAGAGGGGAGACCCTTACCTGACACCTCACAGAAAAGTGAACTCAGCTGGAATAAAGACTGAGTCACAGAGATGTAACTGGAAAGCTGCCAGGAGAAAATACAGTGGAGTCAGAAATGATAAGGAGAGGCCAAGGGTACAGCCCAGCAGCACAGCGCTTGTCTGGCAAGTGCAAGGTCCTGAGTTCAAATCCCACTACCCACACACACACAAAAGAAACAACAACAGTTTTTTGGCTGTGACATCAAAAGCACAGGAAGCAGAGCAAAAATATGAAGAAGGAACGGCATCAGTCACCAAGGCTTTGTGCACAGAAAGACAACAGGCAAAACTGTGGCCTGTGAGCTGCTCATCGGATAATGGGTCTATGTCCGCAGTGTACAAAAGACCCCTGCAGCTCAGCAAATGCCTGACCTGAACACTGGCCAAGGCTTTGGACGGACACTTCTCCAAAGGTGACCACTGGTGCACAGACAGCACCGAGAAGAGGCCTGGCATCATTGATGATTATTAGGAGCACACAGTGGTACGGTTGCCATGGCAACAGCAGGGATAACAGAAGGACCCATGCCCGGCAATCCCACTTCCCAGTGTGCACCCTGAAGCACCCGGGATAGTGCTCCAAGTTTGCAGAGTGCCTTCCTAGAATCACGACTGACATCAGCCTAACATCCTCCAGAGGTGATGGACAAACCCCGGGTGGCCCAGCTGCACAGCAGGACCTGGGAAATCCTGACACTATCTCCAACAGGCAGTACATGGAAGAGACACCCACACCCCAAGTCCATCACAACACAGCTCACAACGGCCAAGGTGTGCATCAGCCTCTGGACAGACTGAACGCTGTGTAGACACACATGTTGTAGAATACTATTAAGCCACAAAAAAGAACAAAACTGTCATTTTCCACAGTGTAGCTAGGTCAGGAAACCACTATGTTAAGTGAATAAGCCAGGCACAGAAAAACAAATACTGTGTGACTCACTCACAGGTAGAATCTAAAAAGAAAAAGAAGGTGAGGTCACCAGAGGGTGGGGAGAATCAGAGGGGGGGAGTGGGGGGACTGATGAGTGGGTACTAAATTCCAGTGAGGTGGGAGCAGGAGGTTTTGGGGTGACTGCTGACAGTGATGCAGAAAGCTGGGAAAGGGGATTTCAAAAGTTCCTTCGTAGGGGCTGGAGGTTTAGCTCAGCGGCATAAGCGCCTGCTTGCAAGTAGGCAGTCGTGAGTTCGACCCCTGGTACCGATAAAAAGGAAAAAAAAAAAAAAAAGTTCCGTTGTAAAGGGGTGAGTCCCAGGGAAAGGGACAGGTATGCAGAGCTGATCCGGGCAGCACACAGTGCACCCAGGTGTGACAGCAGGAATGGTGCCCGCTGATGTGACACAGGATAAAGAGAGATGGGAGAGGCGGGGGATGGGAGGAGGTGTTCCAGGCCACAGAACGGGGGCGATTCGTGGAACCAGAGATCAACATCTTCCGAGGCCAGGGCTGCGATGTGCCTGCCCCAGTGAGTGGCAGGGTGGCCCAATGCTCCCAGCCAAAGAGGAGCAAGAGATTCGCTGAGGGACCCTGTCAAGGACCCTGGAGGACCCTGAGGACCAGCTGGAGGGTCCGGCCAGGGCAGGCCTCAAGCAGGAGCTCATGATTGGGACAAGTGAGGCAGGGCCAGCAGGCTCCTTCCGCCCACTGGGGCAGACTCTGCCTCCCTGGGAATTCAAACCAAGAGTGGTGGGGAGCCCACTGCCCCCTGGAGCGTGCAGTCCTGTTACCGGCACTTGACTCTGCAGACAAGGAGGAGCCATGCAAAGCAGGCAGCCTTCGGTGGTCCCCGCTGGGCTCGTGGCTCTTCCGGTGTGTGCCAGCCCCAGGAGGCACGGGGTTGCTCTAAAGGCCACAGAGCTGCGGCCTGTGGTGCCTTCCCAGGGTCTCTGATTCCCTAACCATGGGATGCAGCTGCCAGGGGACCCTGCAGTCCCACCCACTTCCGCTTAGGTGAATGTAGGCCATTTAATGATCATGGCTCCGTGGGTGTCAGACCCTTCCTGGCCCTGCAGGTGATTCTGCAGGATGGCACTGGTCCCCAGATGTCACAGGACCCTTCCTCTGCCTGTCACCTGTTCAACTGGGGCCATGAGCATGGTGAGGTTGAGCAGGATGGCAAGTGTGGGGACTGCTCCTTCCCCTGGCACACAGCACCATCTCTGTTCCTAGCAGTACCTCCCGGAGCGGTCAGAGGTCGGCAGGCACGAGGGTTGCCAGCTGCTAGAACCCGGGCTAATGACTGGGGGCACAGAGTGGTGGC